AACATTGTATTACACAATGCTATGCCTCAAGAGGGCGTTCGGCCAGATAAATCTGGAAATACGGCAGAAATACTGTCGTATATTATATATGATATTGAAGGAAGTTAGCCGTTAACACTGTGGAATAAATATAATATAAATCATCCAAGGTACATATACAGCGTTTTAAATAAGGACATGATGGAACATCGTAGGCTACCCTGTAGCTTTTCAACGAATAAAGTCCTATAAAAGTCATTGTGTAATAAAATGCCTCCGACAGGATTCGAACCTGCGACCTCTTGCTGACAAGGCGAACGTCATAACCACTAGACCACGAAGGCTTCATGGTTGAACAGGTCCAAATAACCTAGTCGTGCTTGCAATTTAATGCCAACACAGACTAATAATTGCAATGCCACATCATCCTACCAGGTACCCATTTATACTGTACAGTGCCTTGCCCAAGGGCAAAGCAATGCGACGAGCGTCGGTCTTGAACTCCCAATCTCACGATCAGAAGTCCAATACTTTACACGCTGCGCCAATAGTGTACGTTATAAATTAAAAGGCAAAATACTGAAAACCAACAATGCTGTGGGAAACAATTGCTGGATCTTGATAGAGACACAAATTTGATAATCAACAGCTAAAAAGTAAATGTAAGTAAACAGTCAGAAATAGAATCAGAGCTTTTGGACAATCTAGTCCTCCCTCAGTGGTGAGTGAGTGAGGGTAGAAAAAGCCAGATAGTATAAAGTGAGCATTCATGCATGCATAATTTATATATACATATACACTGTTTTATGAATTAGTAACATACTCTAGATATGAAACGTTTTGTACTTGGGTTCTGCTTTTTTCTCCACTTCATATCATCTATTATTTGTTGTGGATTTACAAAAAGCTCTCCACTCTTACAGAGTTGCTTCTGTTGAGGCAATCTCAATCTGGGAAAACAAAAGAAATATTTATAAACATCATTATTTCCAAAACTAATAAAAATGAGTTGTTTTGGCTACAGAGAATCAAGGGTCCTATATGATTAATTTTGTCAGATGGATCACTCATTAAATATGTTGTAAAATAATAAATTGTTGTACTATGAAATACTAAATTGAAAAATGTTAACAAAATTTTATATACAGCATGTAAAAGAATCTTGAAATTATTAACAAACTGTGAGTTGACATTTGTAAAGCATAACAAATGCAAATTCCTAGTTAACTTATATGCCAATTGCTCTCCTTGAGGCATATTACAAATATATGACAATTTTACGGTGACCAGTTCCTGTATCTTGAAGCCTGAGGGCAGCAAACAAAATTTATTAGAGCATGTTGGTTAAATCATCTAAAGCCCTGAGGGCGGCAGATATAAATAAAAGTGGGTTACATATCAAAAAACACTGGGGGCGGCAGACTAAATGTTAAGATATACAGTATGCACTGTTGGTATGGTGCTGAAGAACAATAAATAATAATAAAAATAATAATTTTTTATAAAAATAAATTGAAAAGAATACCAACTTTATTTGCATTTATTAACATTTTAGTAATTAATTATTTAACATTGAGTAATTAAATATCAATTCAATTTCTGAAATTTTCCATCCAAAGTCATCCAAAATGAAACATATTATATTATATAATAAAGTTCATTTCTCATAAAGAAAACAATTGTCTACCTGTTCCAACGCCTGACAAATTGCTGCACAAGCTTGAAACTGAATGGATGCTGCAGTAATTTAGGTAATGATCCCAGGTTTTTGAGATGTACATCAACAGGGAAAAAACTTGCTCCCAAAAAGTCACCATCCTGCAAGAGAAAACCAATTCAAAAAATACATTTCATGGCAGACCATTAATGACCCAAATGATGAAACAAATACAAGATTTTGTGTCTTCAGTAAGACAATTGGATACTTAAAGCGCTTTGACATTTATATACATACTTTTATTATTATATTACAGTGAAAAAACAATTGACTGTATACAATACTAACAAAAGCAGCCTTTATATTGTAGCACTCAATATCTAGGTCATAACTTCATATTCAAAAGTCTTTCAGTTGATGGCCTTCCAATTTTAATTTGCTAATCTTTTTGTAGAGAAAACATGATTAATACTTATTCAGGTTGCTGTCAATAACTGACATACTTTTTAGAAAGATAAAACATGCCTACTGGTACTAATATTGATTAAAGCTAAGTTGTTCAGTCAAAAGTAATATTAATCAAAAATATACAGGAAAATTTACAAAATGTTGCATTTAATTCACTGTGGAGATTTCAATCTTAAATATTTATTCAGCCAAGACAAAAATATATTTAATACTCATTATATGTTGTTGTAGTTTTTAGGATTATTAAACAATGGTATATAGATAGATAGATACTTTTATTCAAAAACAACCATCAAGTAAAAAACAGTTACAACTCGCAAGACAAAAAATATAATATGTTACTTATTTGTTGTACTTTTAGTATTAATAAACAATGGCATATAGATAGATAGATATATACTTTTATTCAAAAACAACCATCAAGTAAAAAACAATTACAACTCGTGGCCAATGGCGAAATTGCGTGTGATTTTACAAGCACAAACAAAATAACAAAAGCAAGAAAAATACAAAAAACAACTCATCATCATCATCATCAAAAATGGTTATTGTTCATTCATTATTAATAAATATTTATAATAAATAATAATATTGATAAAACTTAGAATAGTAATAACATTTATTATATGAAATTCTAATTAAAAAAATAGAACCATTAAATTTAGAATTACAAACCTCATCATATAAGTAAATTCTGCTGGTGTGAAGACTGGGACGGTATTTGAAGCCATGGTGAACTATATTAGTGTCATCAAGTTCGTCTTTTACTTCAAGTAATTCATCTGAAGTAGTCTCACATGATGTTTCTTGGTGAGGTTGAGTTGAAGTACTGGAAGGTGAAGCATCAACCTCTTTAACTTTCTGAATGTTGTGTGGAGAGTTTATGCCAAATGCTACACCACCTTCTGAAGGCTGTGTTTCATGTTTCTTTGATTTTGATATATGGAAATCATCTTTATAATTTTTTAAAGTTTCGCCTGTTATTATTTGACTCTTTTCTGGTTTAGGATTCCAACAGGAATCACATTCTTCAGCCTGCGAGACAAAGCCACACTCACTGCAAGTCCAGAACTCTTGTGAAGATTCAGGTGCAGATTGTGAAGAGATCCAGGACTCGGCAGCTGCAATGTCTTCCAGGATACTTGTGTCTTGCTCAGATTCATTTAAGTCACTTTCATTCTCCACTGATTTCTTTTGCTGAAGACTGATCCCCTCACAAGAAGTACATGTGCTGTAGCAATCAACACAAACCTTTTCATTCTGCTTTTCAGAAGAGGTTTTGGTATCACTATCTTCTACAGTTGCAAAATCACTTTGATGTGGCACAGAGACAAAGTCATCCACAACATTTCTTGTTCTTGTTTTTTTGCTGCCAATATTTTTAAAATTTTTAATTTGAGGAGACCTCTTTGGTGTAGGAAATAAAGTCTTTGAACTTTGTGAGATATCGAAATCAACAAGATCTTCATCAACAAAATCAATTTTACTTAAACTGAATCTCTTTGTCGAACTTACCGACGATCTCTGTTTTTGACTTCGGCTCTTCTGAGCCTTTTTCTTAGGAACAGTCTTTAAAATTGGCTTTGCAGTGTTACACATCTCACAGTATGGAAGAATTTTATGGTTACGGTAGGTACACATAGAGCAGCTCCATGATAACCCATCTGGAGTGACACCAGAAGTTTCAAGTTTGTCACTATATTTAGAAGTTAATATACTATCTTCATATTTATGCATTTCGACCTGCGATAAATCTCCACTAATTCTACCAACACTGACATTTGTGATGCATCTCCTCTTACTAGACGCATTCTTGATTGGACAAGGTGACTCTAAAGAACCTGCAACTAAATTCTCCTCAAAACCAGAAATTTCACAACCTCTAAATGAAGAGCGTCTTTTTCGTGAACTAGTAATTGAATCAAAAGCATTGATAGCCTTCAATGATGCATCATTAAATATTAAAGAATCATTATGCACAGAATGGCATTTTAAGGATGTGTCACCAGCTGGGAGATGCTCCGGATCTATCTGGTGATGGCAGAAAGGAGGTGCATTGACATCAGGTGCGTTCCTCTCATTTTCTTTTAATTCATGATCAGATTTGTTCAAGTCTTTCTCTAGTCTTCGTGTGTTCTTTGGACTCTTTCCTTTAGGAGTAAAAAATGATCTAATATCCTGATGAACTTTAGATTCCTCCTAACAAAAAGACAAAAATGATTATAAAAATATATACTTCCACAATTCACATTGGACTTAATTAAAAAATATTATGGCTGATAATATTTGGAGAACGATCCAGGTAGGGGAAGGATGGGAGAAGAGGATTTGATATACTTATAAACAGCGCCATCTAAACACATATATCTTCTCTTATCTAATTGGATAATTTTTGTATGACAATGCTAATACAAACTGTTATAATTATCGTGAAAGTCTGGCGGCTAAGTGAATATGTTATTAAAAGATTCCATAATCTTTAACACACTCATAAAAGTATACTGATATTCCCTTTGTTCTCAGCCATTTGAGTAAATGCCATAGAGTAATTTAACAACTGGCACAGTTTCCAATGCTCTGTTTTTCCACTTACCAATTATGTAATACTTTTAAAAGGACATCATGCCAGAACCAAATTCCACTATTACAATATTTTTTTTTTATTTTGTGAATGTAAAAACTTGCGTGAATAAAAAAAATTATGTTAATCTTGAAACTCTTACAAATCTGTTTGTTTGTATTTACGGAAAAGTAACGCAGGTACTGTACACATAGTTAATTGAATTAAACACATTGCACAGTGTCCGTAAGCTGTATAATCTTCTTATGTCTTTCATGTTGACCTACTTCATATGACCAGACAATTATTTGATGGCAGTCATTTCAGTATTTGATTTCTAGATTGAACAACAACAGATGTGTATAAGAGACAGAAGATATACAGTATGCACTGTTGGTATGGTGCTGAAGAACAATAAATAATAATAAAAATAATAATTTTTTATAAAAATAAATTGAAAAGAATACCAACTTTATTTGCATTTATTAACATTTTAGTAATTAATTATTTAACATTGAGTAATTAAATATCAATTCAATTTCTGAAATTTTCCATCCAAAGTCATCCAAAATGAAACATATTATATTATATAATAAAGTTCATTTCTCATAAAGAAAACAATTGTCTACCTGCTGTCTCTTATACACATCTAGATGTGTATAAGAGACAGTATTTACAGGACTACATTCGTTGCGAGCTAT